AATAATAATAATAATAATAACAATAATAATAAAGAATGATTTTTTTTTCTTATTTGTGTGAGTGTGTATGTGGGCAGTAAAGTATGTACATTGTATCTGGGCCACAGAACGAATACACATCATCATCATAATAATAGTAATAATACAAGGGAAATGTGCCTCACAAAAAGATGATAACAGAAGAAGAAAAAGAAGAAAAAGAGAATAAAGCTTTTTTTTATTTCTTTTTCTTGACTATCTTTCTTTATTATTTTTTTTTTTTTTTTTTCTTTTCTTTTTCCCTCCATGTTTTATTATCATCCTCTCTCGTTTAATTCTTTTCTTTCACATAGATCTTCCAATTGCCCAGTGCATTAAACACAATCATCCATACGTTATATATATATATCCTTTTTCTTTACCTCTATCTACTTATTTGATCGCACAAAAATTCCATTTACTTTTCTCTCTCTAGCTCTCTAGCTCTAAATTTCTTCTTTAGCACACAAAGAAATAAAAAAAAAGAAGGGAAAAAAAAAAAACAATCAAGAACCAAATATCCAATTCAATCCGCTCTAAAAAAAAAAAAAAAAAACACACAATAATAATATCTCATTTTACCTTCTGATGTACCTGCGAGTAACTCACCGATGGTGAACTGATATTCGACAATCGCCTGCTGTTGCGAAACCCAAGCGGGAGATCGCCCTCCCGCCACGCCGGGTACCGCATGTACTCACAGAAACTCACTGGATGCATATTCGGCACCGACTGTTCACTCCAGAGGGAATTCGGCGATGGCAACAAGAGCGGCTGAAAGTCCAACACCACCGATCGACTCGCCTGCTGCATGAGTGGCTGAAGTAACTGCAGGGTGAGTTCCTGCATTTTGCGCTCCAGTTGATGTTTGCGCAGCAACTCCACAAAGGTGGCCCGCTTTAACTCCCACACCTCCACTTGACTGTCGAGGGCCAACACACTCACCGACCAGGGATGCCGCCGCACACAGGTGTAGCCCACCACACAGCCCTTCGGCACTCGTGGGAAATGTGCACATGAGGCCATTAACACAGCACCGGATTCCGCATCTCGTTTAATTTCACGTTCATTCATCACAACCGCAGCTCCGACTTGCATGAAGAGAAGAAGACGATTGCAATCATCACCACGGCGAATGATGTAATCGCCGGCTTCAAAGGTGAGTAAGGTCCAGCGACGGGCACAATCTTCATAAAAGGCATTATCAGGTGAACAGAGACTCAGTAATGGAATCTTACGTACCCTCTCTAGAAAATGAGGTGAAACTCCATGTGTGCTTGAAGCCATTGGATTCCCCGTCGCATTCTCTAATGTTAAACGATGAGCGCCAGACATAGCAGGAGTAGTAGTAGTAGTAGTAATACTAACACGACGATTAAACCATTTAGATAATTTTGCAGATCCTAGTAAAATAATACCAAGATGTTCTAATGAAGAGGGTAAAAAACGCATCCCATCATACTCTTTCTCTAATAACAAAGATGTGGATTTTGCTGCGGCATAAATAGTTGAACGTGCTTCAGAATCTTGTTTCATAAATTGAATAAGTACTGAAAATGGTAGTAAATACAAATCTACATTGGTTACGGCAAAAACGGTATCCCCTAATGCCTCTTTAAAAATACACTGTCGTTCCCCAAATGTATGTCCATCTACGAGTAAACTACGACTGTTAGGTTGATTGGGTGAACTCATATCCGCTATAAATGACTCATCCTGTTGAAGATGTACTAAACCACGTCTAATAAAAAATATATGTGCAGGAACACCAGGTTCACCTATTTGCATCCCTGCTGGACGTACTTGAGGAATAAGGTAGTCCATGAGATGAAGTAAATTAACATCACTAAGACCAGAAAGAAGAGGACACAACCGCATACGACCTGTCGTCATGGGCGCAAACTGTGGAAGAAGTTTCTCACGAACTTCTAAAGCCCGAAGTAAAAACTCCTGTTGTACACGTTTTGGAAGTCCTTCCATAATAGCATAGTAAGCGGATTTTGATAAAGTTGCTGTTACGACAAACTGGGATTCTGCCACAAGGTTATCTGTATGGGAGAAGGAACCTACTGTGGCATATTCCCCAAACACTGCAGGAGCATGCAGTAGCGGATCATTCATAATAAAATCAGCGTTATTACTAGAAGTACTACAACGACGTCCACTACCTCCAGCGGATGAGGCACGACTTGTTAATGACATATCATCTTGTGGTGGAAAAGTAGGAGTTGAAGTGGATGGACGAGAGTGTGTTCTTGCACTTGTGGGGATTCCTTTCGTTCTTGACAACTGTGATGGTTTTCGCACCGTACCAGAGAGTAGAATCATCACACCACTGCAAGGCTCTCCATGATGTTGAATGATCTCTCGTTGCACAAATAAACGGTAATCGGCAAACCTTACCACTTCTTTCATCACATTGTATGCATGTGTCAGTTGTACACTCACATCCATAGAATGTAAACAAGTAGAAAGAGCAGATGTTTGCTCTAATGCATCCACTATCTTTGTTTGCAACATCTCACGAGCATTTATGGTATCAATGGTTCGTTTTCGGTGTTTGCTGGCTATACGGCGTTGTATGATGGGATACAATAGTCGTCTAAGCACCGCCATTGCAATGCCCCGTATCTCTGCAGCCACTTCCTCTGGAAATGTCTTCAATTGGGCGGGTGTTGGGAGAAAAACGTGCATTCCCGACGTATTCCGCACAGGAAGAGGTGGTCGCGTGTCCATGGTGTCTGTTAATCGATGGCAGCTAAAGCGTTGTGAATAGAAGAAAAAGAAAAAGAAAAAGAAAAAACAAATTTTTTCATAAATATATATATTTATATATACCCCAAAAGGGGGAAAAAAAAAACTTAAAAACAGCATAAACAAAGGAGTCATTACAGTCAATTGCAAAAAGAAAATACCACAAGAATGCAATGTAAAGCTGAACATGGGAGAACTCCTCCAAGAATAGAAAAAAAAAAGCAGTATCGCGTTATGTAGTTTACATGATGTATGTAAAAAAAAAAAAAAAAAGAAAATAAAAAAAGGTTTCAAAGAACTTTACAGACGAATTCATTCTTTGTCTTCCTTTCTTTTCTCTTTTTTCTTTTTTTTTGTTTTTTTTTTCCTCTGTGTGTGTGTGTGTGTGTGTGTCTGTGTGTCTGTCCATCAGACCATCACATCTGTCATAAAGAAGGATTTGGGGGGTATTTCCACCGGCACACCGCTTTCAACAGAGAACTGGGTATCCAGCATATGTTGAGATCTGCATCGTACACCTCTCTGAAATCGCTCATTCCGATCACGTAGAGACATTCGAAGAGTCTCAAGACGCTTTGTAAGAGTGCGTGTCCGCATATCGGCATGTCTTTTTTTCTCTTTCATTCGATTTTCTTTCATCTTGAGATCCGCAATGGACCGTTCGAGTTGTTTGCACTGCAAGAACTGCAGTTGTTGTTGTTGTTTTTCTTTTTGTTTTTTCGCTCTTGTTGGTGATTTGACTCGTCCGCCGGGGGAATGGGTTGTTCCTGATGATGATGATGGTTGTACGGAATTCTCTAACGTAATCGTACGAATTGCCTCCTTGAGAGCGGCCCGTTCCCGTTGAAGTGCACTACGTTGATCGAGAAGTTGAGCAACAGAGACGAGTTCATCTGTTTTTGCCGTAAAAGAGGTGGGAAGTTCCTTTTCAAATATATCATTATGTTCTAATGAAGGAGTGAGAAGTTTAGATCGTTCCTTTGCCCCTCGCGCTAGTCGCTCCAACTCCTTACATTTCCGTTCTTCTCTGGCAACAGCAGTTTGGAGTCCTGTGTATGAACGGAGTTGATCTCGAACTGATAATTCTTGTGATCTCAATGCATCTACAGCCATAGTCGCGTTCTTGATTTGTATGTGAAGATCTTTTAGTCTCTTACTTGCAATCTCACGTCTCTCCAAAACATTCTTTTCAATAGCACAAAGAGTCTCCCATTTCAATAAATCTCGTTCTCGAGCTGTCTCCGTAAGTGTCCCCTCTTCGTCAAATCGCTCTCGGGGAGAAGAAGAAGAACCAGAACCACTACCACTATAGTGCCGTTTCTCACTTCCAGGTGAAATGGAAACACCACCAACACCAACACCATCATCCTCATCACTATTAAAACCAGAATTTGGTCGCTGATACACATATGCCGGATGAGTAGCTATAGAAGATATGGTAGTATTATTACTATTTGTAGTAGCAACATTTCCACCACTAGTACAACACCTCACTTCAGGTAATACGACGCCTCTCCCACTGCAAGGACGAGAGACTCGGGCAAGAGAGTTGAAAAATTCTCCCCCCGCACACGATGAAGCCTGTGAGGATGTTGGTCTCTGTGGCTGCAGTGGAGTTCCCGATGTATTCACACTTTCATTCTCTGCGGCTTGACTGTACAATGGCGGACGTCCAGCGGCTGTGCACGCCTGGTCTGATTCCTGCGTCAGCGGTCGGTGCCTTCGTGGCCGTTCCGCCCCAAGGCGTGGTCGATGTGGTTTATTGTTGTTATTGCTGTTACTATTCCTACTATTGATTTTACAATATTGTTCTTGTTCTTGTTGTTGTTGTTGTATTTTACTTGTGGCGGATGGGACTCGTGTTGGCACTACGGGAGCAAAGTACGGTGAGAGTCGCAGCATCACGAGATGTCGGCCATCTCGCTTATTGTTGCTATTATTATTATTATTGTTATTATTCGGCTGCATAGGAGGCGGGCGCCATCCATACCGCCGTGGACTGGAGTGAGAATGAGAATGAGAGCTAGAATGAGAATGAGAATGAGAGCTAGAATGAGAATGAGAATGGGAGTGGGAATGAGAGTGGAGATCGAGAAGATCCCGCCATTCATCCTCTACGGCCCAACCAGAGAGCAGATCTTCCATCATAGCACGCATGATCCCCACCACTCAGTACAGTAACTATCACAGCCGATTGGCAGTTCCCCTTTTTTTTTTTCTTCTTCCCGTATTGCTAGTAGTACACACGAGTTATTTATTATGAAGATGGATATAAACGCTATGGGGTGCAGCTGGTAGGTTCCCCCTTTACTCTGTTGCTCTCAATATATATATATATATATATATAGAGAGAGAGAGAGAGAGGAAATTGGGGTCTGCAGGAAGGAAAAGAAGAGACCCTTTACATAGAGAAGGTAGAAAGAAAGAAAAAGAAAAAAAAAAAAGAGAGAGAGAGAGAGACAAAAGAGAGTAAGAAGGGAAATGAAGATTCTGTCTCTCAGAGAATGAAATAAAAAAATATATATATATATAACAAATGATTTCACTATCATTTTTTCTTCTCTTTCTTAAGCGAAAAAGGCATAAGTTCCAATACCAAAGTGAACGAACGAATGTGTCCATGAAGTAAACATGAATGACTAATAATAGGAGAAAAGAATCACAGTTTCGTTTCCTCGTCCTTCATTTTACTTTTTTTGGTAGTCACCCAATACCACTACCACCCACACAAACACAGACATATACATCTTCACTTGCTCTGTACATCTAATAAAATAACAAAAAAAAAAAAAAGAAAAAGGATGGATGACAAGGTATTTCCTTTTATTTTTTTTATTTTCCTTTTCTTTATGCTTTGTTTCGCTATTCCAAAACATAAATAAATAAATAATAATAATAAAAGAAGCAATCATGCATTAACGCAAGAAAACACAAAAAAAAAAAAAAAAAATCCTGTTCTTCTTCGTTTTCTTCTTAAGAAGATCCGTTCCCCGTCGGCTTCTCAGACTCACAACTTGCCGTATTTCCTCCTGAGTGGTCACTTGTCTCGTACTCCACTGTACACTTTCCCAAATTTCCCATCACAACAAGACCTTCTGTTTTCAGTCTTGTGCGAATACGATTGAAGGCTTCTAACATATCCATATTCTGATTCTCCACATATCGGGTGAGGAATTGCATACGTTCAATATCACGATCCAAGACTTCAATCTCTGCCTTCACTCGTTCTGCCCGTGCACTTGTACTTCTTCCTGCTTCTCCTTCTATTCCATCCTCATCATCCCCAACACTGGGCATCACTACTTTGGTTTGCATGACTTCTTCATAAATGGCAATTTCTTCCTCAAGTAATTTCATTGCTCGTGGCATTTTATTTCCTGCTGGAAGTTGTTCCATGAGAAAGTCAAGTTCCTCGTGATAGACTTCATATCGGTAGGCAACTCGAATATCTGAGACTCGACTCTTTCGTACATCATTACCAAGTGTGGAATTTAGATAATACAATTTACCAAGTGCATTCTCTTTCCATCCAGATGGGAAACCACTTTGCAAAACGCTATTACGTGCAATTTCAGAAAGATCATTAAACTCAAACTGCCAAAGTTTAGCCGCGATAGAATACTCCTCAATAAGTGGTTCACGTGTAAAATGAAAGTAAAGAGGTTCATTGGTAGCAAGACTAACATTAAGACCACGACGAAAGAAAAGTGGGAAAGGATTAGATAAATAAGGAGAAGACCCTGCGGTATTACTAAGTGGAGACATAGCTACACCAACCTGGGTAATATAATACATATATTCCAAGACTGGATTTTGTCTAAGCCGTACACCATGATTAATACTATCCGCAACGAGAAAACCACCAATAAGGTGTTCCACACTTCCCAACTCCCCACACTGTGGTCGAAATGTAAAAGTTCCAAGTCCACGAGAGGCACGAAATTCATTTAATGTTGCGATATTGGCCCAAAAATAGTAAAGATACATATTATACGGTGGATTGAGATCACTATCCCAATCATGTGGGTAAGTGGCACTAAGAGGAAGATCAATTTTAGATTCATCATCTACAGAGTCAAAACCTGATACATGGGCAAGAAAGTAATGGAATTTCGTATCTTTTGCTGGATGTAAACTTATTTCCCATAAAGGTTGAAAAATGTTATCAAGATATTCACCAAAATTTCGTACTACTCCCTTTTGACGAAGACGTCTATATTGACGTGGTATACATACCATCCATCGATTTTGTGAACTTGCCATACCATAGCGATCAAACCAGTGAGCCAATTTATACCATTCATCTTGGGATTTTCCACTGATTAAAAGACGATTTTCAGAAAATGAAAAAGCATCTTCTAAATATAAATCTAAAGTAAGTTTTGTTAATTCTGCAAAATAACGTCCCTTCATAAAGTTATCCACAGCAAGAAAGGTTGTACGTATATGTTTATTAGAATTTACAAGATGATTCAATTCATCCACAGTAATACGTGTAGCGTTAATCATATATCGTTCTAACAATTGCCGTAAGGTAACCGGTTGATTATCTTCTTCAAAGACCACATCATGTCCATGATGAAGGGATTTCTCAACAAAGAATTCCAACAGAGTTCGTGCATTCATCCCTGCTGCTGTATGTACATTCGTATCTACTTTATGAGCTGTGAAGAAATCACGATTATTCCATTCCTTCTCTTCCTTAGATCCCGCCTCTTTACTAATACTTAATGAGAGATGTAATAAAAATTTCTTTTCCAGTAGTTTCAGTCGTTGATCGGCAAGACAGTGGAGTTTACTATTTCCCATCACCACCTCACGTACGGTGGCTACATCTCGAATAAACTCATCTACAGGAGGAATAAAACCTGGCCATGATGGAGATTTACCTTTTCGTGAGAAGAGAAATACCCCATAGTAATTATTATACTCCCAAATACTTTCATCAAAGTTAGAATTATTAAACACATCCTCCACTTGTACATCTACATCTAACCCCCGTGCGTTTACATACTTCTTACGAAGCGAAATAACATCTGCAAGGAGTTGTACCGCATCTGATATAGGAACTTCTCGTGGTCCTCCAATCACATCAATTCTAGGATAAACCACACGCCAATCGGTGTGATTGGCTCTTCTTGGATTTCGTAATTGTTGTACATTTTCAATAGCCTTTCGAGTTAAAGAGGATGGAACCATACAAAGTGTGATGGGTTCTTCTCCTTTTTTAGCTACTTGGGATAAGACAAGATTTAACACCATCTCTTCATGAAGTAAACATTCATGAAAAAACTCCAATCGATAGTCACAAACACCAGAACGTCTAATATCATTTCCATCACATTCACTCATTTGAAAGTCATTACCTAACCATTTTCGTTTCATCTCTAATGGAAAATTACTATTGAGAACACTGTTACGTGCAATAACATTTAAATCCATTTGAGTAAGTGAACGTAATTTCATTAATGTTGTGTATTCTTCTACACATGGATTATCAAAATGATGAAAATATAAAGGATCAGATGTTGTAATAGATACTCGAAGACCTTGAGCAAAGTATCGTACAATTGGATGATCAAAGTAAGACTTTACGAGAACGTTATCACGTAATGGAGACATCACTACACCTATACGGCAATACATAAAAAGATACTGCATAATCCAACTCTTCTCTAATGATCTCACATGATAGACCACATCACCTAATAAGAAACTTGAGACCAATTGATCATATGCAGGGGCGGATTCAAATACAGAGGGACAAAAATTAATAGTGTTAAGTCCATAACGTACACGAAGGGCATTAAGTGTAGCCAAATTTGCCCAAATATAATAAAAGAAGTAACAATCACTTACACCTTCTTCATACTTTGCTTCATCAGGACTCATCGCATCAAATACTAAATTTTGAGAACGAGTAACATGTTCTGTATTAATACTAATAGCTCCTGTTTTATTCAGTAAGGCCGCCACATCTCCCCATTCTGTACTCGTTGGAAATAATGTTGCCATTAACATAGGGTAAAAGATATTACGTAACTGATCTCCAAACGTTTGACAGGTCACTGGCTGTTCATTAGGACCATGCAGAGGTGCAGAACGTGGAATACATATAGTCCACATATTAAGTGAAAAAGAATTAAAACCTTGTCGTCGTACCCAAGCAGCTAATAGTTTTAATTCATCTGCATTTTGACCATATAAAGAGAGTTTCGTCTCGGTTGCCACAATTTGACGTTTTTTAAACTCTCTTTTCTCTAACTCTGGACGAATAAGAGCACCAAACAAATCCCCATCTTTTGGTCCATTTGTAGATAAAACGGCTTGAAGAAGATCTGTACCAAATTTCCCTGCTGGATTAAGATTTGGATCAAATACATCATATGGTTGAAATTTATTATGATATAGTGGTGGGTGTAATCCAAGTCCCTGTACCGTTATCTCACGTGCGTCGGAAATACCATGACTCTGTAAATAATCCATTAACTGTACAGTCTTTCCCTCTTCATTGTGAAAGAGAGGCGTACGGGGGTGTTCAACGGCTGTAGAGACAATAAACTCAAAGAGTGTTTGCGCCGTCACGGAGGTCTGCAGCCGCAAAGCGTTATCTATACAAGTGGCAGGGGCAAACTCCCCAACCGCACGTATTTGACGTGAAATGTTCATTTCTGTCTCGGAGTTAAGAAGAAAGTAGAGATGTGATTTCTCTGCCATTGTGGTTAATCGCGTCCTCGCAGTAGAGAGACAAGGACCAGACTCAATCGCATTAAATACAGATTTCATATCTCGTACATATCGTTCCCATGGAACCACACGTGTATTCATACCAGAGAAACTGTATATACCACGTTCAAAGGTGAGGGGATTATCTTCAGTGGAGTGTTGAAAGTGGAATAAGTAATCAATCTCTTCCGGGTTAAGGCGTGTCTCTGCTTCTCCCTTATCACATTTTTTATATTCCTGTCGAGCTCGAATAACATTCGCAATCATTTCTGCGGATTTGGCAAAGTCTCTATCACCGGCATCACCATCTATCGTAACACGATGGTATCCATTACCCGAGATACCGTAACTACCGGAAACTGATTTGCTTGTATTACCAGTAGGAGTACTGTTGTTGTTGTTGGTGTTGGTATTACTCATCGTATTATTATTGGTAGTGTTCTTACCAGAGACGGTGTAATTGTTTTGATTGGTACTGCGACTGGCGTTGTGGGCACGTGATAACTGTTGTGATATAATGTCATCCATGGTGTCTCCATTCGTATTCAGACCACCATGGCCATTGGGTGACCTGGAATAGCCACCTATTGTTTCTTTGCTCATATTCTTCCTTTTATATGTGTAATTAATAATAATAATAATAATAATAATAATAATAATAATAATAATAATAATAATAATAATAATTAAATAAAAAGGAAAAGAAGAAAAGAAGAAGAAAGAAGAAAAAGATTACAAAGTATAAAGGAAACAAAAAAACATTTATATGTGTCCCTAGATAAAGATGAAATAAAAGTATAAATAAAATAGAATGACGTCCATTATGAAAAACTACATTCAGTTGTGCGAACAGAAGCAACAACAAAAAAAAAAAAAACGTACATATCAAAAAAAGAAACAAGCAAAAAGAAGAAAGAAAGAAAAAAAAAAAAAAAAAGCTCACGAAAAACTTTTATTGTTCCTTCTTATCATCCACTGTTGTCTCAAGTTGAAGTTTTGCCCGTCGCCGCTTGGCACGATGGGCGCTGATGGTCAGCCGCACGCCCAGTATTCCCATCCCAACCACAGGCAACAATATAGATAAGTGATTCACTAATGCCTGATCCCACGGTATATACAACTGCGGCAGTAAGAGCGGGTGAAACTGCAGATCATCCGCCGCTCGGGCAAATTGTGCGAATCTCTTCTCATCAATTAACCGCTGCAGTCGCCGCACGGTGGCCCGCACTCCGTACGGTGCCGGCATCTCCGGATGGGCATTCACCGACAGCTGCAGTTGCTGCAAGGCCCGCATCGCGTACTGACAGCCACGCACTTGCCGGCCCAACGCCCACTGCCGCACGGCATTCACATCGCGAAAACTGCGGAGATTCATCCACCGCGCCGTGAGCGTCGCAACAGCGGCGGAGACTTCACGCTGCAGCCACGCCGCGGTGGCATTCGCCGGCACAGTGCAGTACGCCTGTCGATCCTCAAAGGAGAAACACCGCACATGTGCGGACTCTGCGGATTGGGTTGGGGCGAGAAAGAAACTCACGCCGTGCATGTGAAGTTCCTCCCGCAGATCTAATGCGTAGGCGTGTTTGGCCACACCCAATCCAAGTTGCTGAGTAGCCGCAGTGGCAGCTAATGCATTCCTGTCATCTCCATTACTACGGCTACTGAGACTATTCCTATTATTATTATTATTATTATTATTATTATCACCACCATTATTGCCTACTGTGTGAGGGTTATTATGTGGAAATGAAGCCACACGAACAATACGTTGAATGAACTTTCCTCTATGCGTCGCATCTGTTCCATCCTCTACATGTTCACTCTTCACTACTTTCTCAATATGATCTAATGTATCATGTACTGGTAATGCCCACGTTTCATTCTCCACCCAAACAGCAATTCCAAATTGTGTTTCTACGGGATGTAATAAGAGTGCCTCCGGTACGGGCTGTTCAAAGGCAGGGCCAAGAGATCGACACTGCGCCTCCATTGCTGTCATGAGTTCTGGAAGTGATAAATCGGTGCGATCATTACAGAGTGCCTTATAGTGTACACCAATAGTAACAAGAAAGAGAGTCATGCAGAGTACACCCCAAGGGCCATTGGAACTGAGACGCCAATCATCATTACATTTCTGCTTTGGCTCCATCTTTCTATTCACTTCTCCTTTTACACGCTCTCCTTCCATTTATATATGAATATATATATATAAATAAAATAGTGGGAAGGAGGTAAGGGATTGTAATATGGATGTGGTCCTTCTCAGCAATTACCGCTAATAGGAATATCACTCTACTCTTGTTTGTTTTTCTTTTGTGATGCTAAAGGAACTAAAATAAATAAATAAAAATTCGCTGGGAAAGCAGAAACAAAGAAACAAAAAAGAATAAAATAAAAACATCACAGTCATATATTTCCAAACACAAAGAAAAACATCATTTTCTTTAAGTTCAACCAAACACAGATACAGAGGACTATCCTTTACAAAGATGAATCTTTCTTTCTTTTTTTTTTATTTTTTTCAAATACGTTCCTATAATTCGTTCTTTGTACTGACGATACAACAATAATAAAAATAAAAATATAAAAATATCATTTAAATTCTCGATAAAAAAAAAAGGTATGGCTATTGTAAGAAATACAGTTAAATAACAACAAAGACATCATCATTCTCATTCGTTCGCATTCTTTCCTCTCGCCCTTCTTGGTTCCAGCCATGAGAATCCAATCAATAGAGCAGAGAAAAAGAATTTTTTTTTTTTTTAAGAGAGATGCATACACAGTCGCATGCTTAGACATGCTCAGTGAAGGAAATTAATAAATTAATTCATAAAAAGAAAATAAACGCGAAACTTTGTTTAGAAATAAATGAGAAAAAAATAAAAATAAACGATATACAAACTATCTTTTACTGATGAACTCATAAAAATGAAAGTAGTGAGGGAATGTTTCCTCTTTTCTTTTCTTTTTCTTTATTTACTTCATTCCCTTTAGTCCTTCATGTGTGAGTGTGGTGTATATATAATATAAACTATAAATATTTCACGAACAGCAGAGAGAAATCTCTTTCTTTCTCTCTCTCTCTCTCTGTCTATCAAATACAAAAATAATATAAACCGATAAGCAGAGAGTACAAAAAAAAAATAGCAATGCATACTTTTTTTTTATTATTATTCTCTTAAATTTACTCATGACAAACACACATATACATACAGAAAGAAAAAAAAGGGAGAGGCATATACAAGTAGTATTTCATCAGAGGGCCCTTGCCTGTTCCACCGTCTCAGACCACCCGGAGAGTACATCTTGAATCTCAGAAGAGAGTGCCGCGATGTATTTATCATCATTTAATATTGTTTCCGGGAGAATCTCCTTCACATTCATCATCACCTCTGTACTGTCGTTGTTATTACTGCTGCTCCTGGTGCTGCCGCTTTGGGAGAGAAACAAGTGACGAGCATCTGATCCCTGTTCTTGCTCGTGTACTTCTCGTCCAGGGAAAACTCGTCGCTGCGAGGTATTATTACTATGATTGAACCCAACAGTATTCGTTTTAGTAGTTTTATTAGGAGTGTATTGTTTTCTTCTATCCTCCACTCCAAGAGAATGTCCTCCTTGTAGTGATTCACGTGGAAGTGAAGGTGGTGGTGGAGTAATGATAACATCTCCATATCCCTTCTGCATTGCAATAGAAAGACTATTGCGAGATATGGATGGACGAAATGTACACTGTGAAGCTTCCTCAGAATGTAGTAATCGCTTAAGAGCTGCTAGGCGTTCTAATCGCTCGGCTTCTTTACGTTGTAAACGTGAACAGAAAATATCAGCATTAAATCGTGTATGAACTTTCTTTTCTGGAGGTTCTTCCTCCTGTACGGGTGGTTTCCTGTTTCGGTCCGGTAGTTCACCTTTTGCCCGAGCGATAGCCCGTTCCATGATGATTTTGCTGCTTTTTGGATTTGTTGAGGGTTTGAAGGGAAATTCTTCTTGATTGTTCATAGCCTCCATCACACGAAGTTTATGGCGCTGACGGTACTCTTCACTTTTCTTGTAAAGGGCTTCAAAAACGCTACTACTACCACAGCTGCTACCACTGCGATTGCTGAAAAATGAATTGGTGTAACTCTCACGGTCAATCAGGTGCTGATGCTGATTGTTATTATGATGATGAATATTATTATTTTTATTGTTGTTATTGTTTTTGTTGTTGCTGCTGCTGTTACTTCGGCTTCTGTTTCTGCTATTGTTACTGCTATTATTATTATTATCTGTGTTCTTGGTAGCGTAAGTATTTCTGAGGTGTTGCCAATACTCTGACTCGTTTGTCATTGGATGATATAACTCACGGGTCTCTTTCTCCAGTTGTGTCATGAGCACAACCCGCTGCGCCGCCTCTCGCACTTGTGCCTCATCATAAAGACGCTCAAACACCGCATCATCGCGGATAACACCAGAGTGAACAGAGTATGTGTCTGAATGTGCACTCGGTGTTCTCTTCATGGGCGATTGCTGGTTATCATTATCTTGAAGTCTTTTCATATATTCACGAAACCGTTGACGCCATCCCTTGATAGGACCCTGGTATTTTCGTTCCTTCTCCAAATAAGCAATAATGCGGAGACTATGTTTTCGTGGTATATCTTCAAAAAGAGGAACAATTTCATCATTTAATAATCTTTCCTTTTTCTTTTGAAAATGCATCTGACTGGTTTTTCTACGCTCCTCTTGACTTTTTAGAAACTCTTCCCAGTTAGCATACCTACCCATTCTCTGAGCAGCTTCAGATATAGTGGGACGGAAAGTATACTCTTTATCTGTTTCAGATGTATCCATATCTGATGTCATGCTGGTTTGTAATGTTTTCATACGCTCTGATCGTTTCTTTGCCTCTTCATATAGGCGGTCAAAGACAGCGAGTTCTTCAGCCTCATCATCACCCTCTTCAGCATTCATAACGAGAAAATAATTGGGAGTTTCCATCACCGTAACGTCAGGGTTAAATCGTGGCTTGAGATCCGTACTGCGCTCTCTACCACTCCTACCCTTTAAAGCAGAGGGTGGGGCTTCCTGTTCCTTTACTGCATTATCTTCTGAATCTAACTTTTCCCCTTCTTCTTTTACTTCTTCCTTTTCTGCCTTTACTTGTTCTGGTTGTTCGTTTTTCTCTTTTTCTTCTTCTTTTTCCTCTTGTTTGGGTGGAGTTTCTTTGTTTGGAGTCTCCTCCACCCTCGGTGCTGGTGACGTTGGCTCACTCATTTAGCCACTACACCTCTTTCTCTCCTAGTCTTGAATGTATATGAGAACCGATAATATAATAATAATAATAATAATAATAATAATAATAATAATAATAATAATAATAATAATAATAATAAACCTTCAACTTCACAAATAACTCCAGTATAGAATGTGCACCAGGGTTGTTTATCTTTTCTTTTTCTTCTGTTTACCTCACGAGGCCTAAAAAAAATAAGTCAAGTAAAAAAAAAAAATTGAGACGACTATTGTCTAGCAAAACAAAAAAAACATAAATAACTTTAGTTTTATTTGCATTTACAAATGTATACCATAAACATAGGAAGGGATGAAAAAGAAAGAAAAAAAAAAGAGGGAACGAAGAAGCAATTTATTACAATCATTCCCATTTAGGATTAATGGCACAGAGTCATCAAAGAGAAAAAATTCTTATTAAAAACAATAGAAAAGAAACTACAAGAGAGAATCCAACAGTTAAAAAAAGAAAAAAACTCAGGCGATGATATGCATCGTTTGTGTAGGTATGTGCTACTGTCATGAACCTTCATATTTTTTTTTTGTTTTTGTTCTTCTTCTCGTTTTGAATCAACAGAGAATTAACTTTCTTACTCTTAGCCGTTGTTGCCCTTGTTTTTCTTTTTTTTTTATCAGTCTCCTTTTTTTTTTTCTCTTTCTCTTTCATTTTTTTTTTTTTTTTTACTTTTTTCTTAATCGTTTCACTTGGCGTACGGTATAGATCGCAGCGACCTCTTCGCAGTGGGTCGAGGCACCATTCCCTTATGTTGTGGGGCGCCATTAACAACAGCAGCGGCAGCGGCAGCGGCATCCGGATCATTATCCGCAGTTGAGGCACGCCAAAATGCCACTATATTATCTTCACCGCCTGTGATGAAACAGTCACCAGTACTGAGGGCCACGCGACAAATTTCAGTGTGCAGTTGTGGAAGCGGCACGACACGTGTTGGGTTGTAGGCGTTGACAATGCTAATGGGACCGGGATTGCCCTCCTCATCACGTGATCCCCAGACATGATAGAGTTCACCTCTGAGTACACAAGAGTCTACGAGATAGGCGGCGGGATCAGGCCTCGCGTGGCGCACAACGTCACCTGTGTCAAGGTTAAGCGGTGCGATGTATGCGTTTTCGCAGGATCCTACAAGTGTGAGAAGATCTAATTGTGTGTGTGTTGTCATCTTTGTCACTACTTCACCAGAGTTGAGGGCGTGAATAAGTATATCCGCATCCGGCACACGTGGATCGGCGTGAATGAAGTTAATCATCTGATCTTCCCCTGCTGAGCAGTACACCTCATCATTGAGAAACCGCACGCGTGTGATCTCATCCATGTGCATACGCGGAATGCAGTGTGTGCTGCACCACGTGCGGGTGTCTACAAAATGCACATCTCCGCCCACGGCGACGGCGACGCTGCGCGCACTCGGCGCGATGGCGACACTTCCGCCCGGCGCCCCCGACGCGGTGAACTCGTCGAGAAAAACGACCGGCTGCTGCTGGCGGGTGTCGGCGACGAGAACCCCCGCGTCGGCCTGCGCGGCGAGGAGCAGCGACGGAGCGGCGGGCCCGCCGGCAGCCACGTCCCGCACGGCGGCGGTGAAGTGCCCGGCGCAGGCCCACAGCGCGGCGGCGGTGGCGGCGTCGAAAAGCCGCAGGGAGTCGTCCGCCGCGGAGACGCACACCGCCGCCCCGCCGCTCAACACGCAGCCGTCGAGAACATACGCGCCGGGGGTGGGCGACACACACGCCGTCCCCTGCAGCCGCATTCCACCACAGCTAAACATGAGACTAGTTGTTTGAATGGGGGAAGGGTTCCCGCTAGACAACCTTAAGAGAAAAAGAAGAAGAGAGAAGCAAATGGGGAGGGGATATAGGGGTTTAATACATATGATGATTGGCAATGGAGACTCCGAAAAGGGGGAAGGAGGCATACAATCTGGAGTACATCAGTCGCAGAAAATAGAAATGTTCCGTGAGGAAAAGGGAAACAGCACGCTAACACAGATATATATATATATATATATATATATATATATATATATATATATATATATTCAACAAAAAACAAGCAGTAAGAATGCAAGAAAGAGAAATAAAATAAAAGGAAATTAATTACTCAAGGGATTTTTAAACTCTTGGAAATGTCAGTCACTGGTTCTTATTACACCCCTGTCATATATCAACTTCCCACTAAAATAATAATAACTAAATACACACATATATATACCTAAACTTGTAGACTTCTATCCACTACTCCATATATATATATATATATATACACCCACTCCCACCCACGCACACACCCCCTAAAAAAAATAATAATAATAATAATAATCCTGAAACCCGATCTCTAATCCCCGTGACTAACCTATATAACGAAAGAGACACATGCACTCTTTCAGAGAGAATAAAATATAGTCTCTTTTTCACCTCTACAAGTCAAACTCAACTAGGCATGACTGAAATAGCGCCAACTTTGTCTGGCAGAAATCAACATTGTTGTTGTTTAGTTCCAAACACTCATGCACCTGACGGCTAAAATACTTGCAAGGGTGCGGAGCTCCTGATGAGAGTAAAGGCTCTGGTTCATTAGCACCAAAGAAAGGCGTCAACCATGAGCGTCTAAACTCTTTAAAGGCTACACCTTTTTTTGCATCTCCAATATTTGTTTGATGCGTTCGGGCACGAAAATGCCTTTCTGAATGATCAACGGGGTCACTACTCACACCTACTGTTGTTGTTGTTGCTTCTGCTGCTGCAGCTACTGTTGTTGTTGTTGTGGAATCATCAGATGTCATGTCTTATAAAATCTAGAATCACCGGTATAAATACTATGCCACCCAGATAAGGGGATATTATTGCCTGGATATCACCTTTCAAATATATATATATAGGTTCTCTATATCTACAGTTTGTTAGAAAAAGGACAAAATAAAAAAGAAAAAAATGCATCAACGCCAAAGGAAAAGAATTTAAAAAAAAAACACCAAATTCATTAACTACAGGAGTCTTGATACCGAAAAAAAAAAAAAAGAAAAGCTTTAATCACATGTATAAAACCATTCTGAATGGCCCACGACCTCTGCTCTAAAAATAAAAATAAAAATGAAGCCATGTCAAAGAATAATAACAATAAACATTTTATTCCTTTCCACAACCTTAAGGAGGGAAGGTTGAACCCTATTTCTCTGAGGAGCTTTCGGGTGAAAGAGCAGCAGCAGAACTAGATGAGCTGAGTTGCACAAAGGAAGAGGACAGAGATGACAAAGAAGAAGAAGAAGGGGAAGAAGGTGATGATGGTATTACCGATGATGATGATGATGACTCTGTTGAAGAGGAAATAACAGATAGGGAAGAGTAAACAGAAGGCCTTTTCTCTGAGAATACCATACCATTACCAGTGTTATCATTCTCATTTATTCCATTCTCTTTCTTAGTGTGATTACTACTCTGTCCATTTGTACCCTGCTGCTGCTGCTGTGATACCACAGATCCCATCAAATAATCATTATTATTTGTTGTTAAAAGCTGCTTTCGCCAAACCTCTGTGGAATCTTCAGCGAGTGGCAATCCCTTATCAGAATCTCGTAGTATATCTGGCATTGCAATAAAAGGTACAAAGTATCCTTCTTCTGCCATACCCATTAATTCCGATAACAACTGTTGTTGAAGAAGATGTTCTCCTTTAATAACGGCTTCTCCCCATATGAGACGCTCTTTATCCCGTTGTTCTCTCACCTTCTCTCGTTGCCGTTCTCCTTGTTTCAATTTGTGTTTTTCCCTCAACAGAGAAGTGACGGAACTCCGTCGACACAAGGAGGGATTCCCCTGCATAAGTGTTGCGGGAATGAATGAGGTGTACTTATGGCCTATTTTATTAGTATGGCTACTATTATTACTACTACTACTGCGCGTATGTGCATTCCTGCTTGTTTGACGAACCTTTTTGCGTGAACGTCCTCCTCTTCCTCCTCCAGTTTTGTGAAGAGAACTGTTGTTGGATCCAAGTGGATATTCTCGAAGCTGCAGATGTAAGGCAACACCAAGTTTGCTAGTGTCCATCATGGCGCAGTCTTCCATAATACGATAAATGTAATTGGCTCCAGAAACGTTAAAGGAAAATGGTCGTGTGAGTTGTTCACGCCAGTTAAAAATAGATTCCACAAGTACTAACGTTACAAGATGATGTTCGTTCAATTTATCTAAAAAGAAGGTCACTATATCATCATCTGGTTTGCGTGATTCCACGTCATTGTTACTACTATTACTATTAGTACTAGTATTATTGATGTTTTCGTAATGTTCACAGTAGTGTAGTAACTCTCTTACAAGTTCATCACGATGTTGACATAACTGTAATACCCGCAGCGTCGACTCACGATGAGCCTCCAGATGTGTACAAAGTGCCCTCAAGGCAATAAGACATCCTTTTTGCTTTTCTATTTTTATTTGTTGTTGATTATTATGATTATGATGAAGTTGTTCACTAGTTGATAATCCCAACAGCTCTCGCACAGGTAATACGAAGCAGGTCTCATAGAATGCTTTATCTGCAAGAGGAACTCGAAGTTGTTTCACAGCATCATCGTACAACTTCAATAGGCGCTGGCACTCCAACACAATACTGTTGTTATTATTGTTATTATTATTGTTGTTGTTGTCTGAAGAAGAAACAAGACTTGAGGACATCTTATTAACTAAATAGGAATAATAATAATAATAATAATAATAATAATAATAATAATAATAATAATAAT